AGTCTGCATTCAATTTTCTGTAACTTTTCCTATCTCCCTTGCATTTTGTTTCCCTTCTCCTCTCTGCTATTTCTAAGGCCTCATTGGACAGCCACTTTGCTTTCTTGCATTTCCTTTTCTTTGTGATGGTTTTTGTTGCTGCCTCCTGTACAATGTTACAAGCCTCTATCCAAAGTTCTTCAGGCACTCTGTCCGCCAAATCTAGTTCCTTAAATCTGTTCTTCACTTCCACTGTGTATTCATAAGGGATTTGGTTTAGATTATACCTGACTAGCCCAGTGGCTTTTCCTACTCTCTTCAGTTTGAGCTTGAGTTTTGCTCTAAGAAGCTGATGATCAGAGTCACAGGTCTTGTTTTTGCTGACTATATAGAGCTTCTCCATCTTTGGCTGCAGAGAACATGATCAATCTGATTTCGGTATTGCCCATCTGGTGATGTCCATGTGTAAAGTCGCCTCTTGTGTTGTTGGAAAAGAGTGTTTGTGATGACCAGCTTGTTCTCTTGACAAAACTCTATTAGCCTTTGCCCTGCTTCATTTAGAACTCCAAGGCCAAACTAACCCGTTGTTCCATTTATCTCTTGACTCCCTACTTTAGCATTCCAGTCCCCTAGAATGAAAAGAACATCTTTCTTTGGTGTCAGTACTAGAAGGTGTTGTAAGTCTTCATAGAATTGGTCAGTTTCAGCCTCTTCAGCATTGGTGGTTGGTGCATAAACTTGGATTACTGTGATGTTGAAAGATCTGCCTTGGATTTGTATTGAAATCATTCTATCATTTTTGAGATTGTATCCCAGTACAGCTTTTCCCAGTCTTTTGTTGACTATGAGGGCTACTCCATTCCTTCTACGGGCTTCTTGCCCATAATAGTAGATATGATAATTGTCTGAATTGAATTCACCCATTCCTGTTCATTTTAGTTCGCTGACACCACGGATGTCAATGTTTATTCTTGTCATTTCCTGTTTGACGACATCCAGCTTCCCAAGGTTCATAGATGTTACATTCCAGGTTCCTGTGCAGTATTTTTCTTTGCAGCATTGGACTTTCCTTTCACTTCTTGCAGTAGTTAGTACTTTTATGAGAAGTGGACTTAAGTTCACATCATCACCCTCCAGTGTTGTGTGACTCCTGTACAGAATCCATCTAAAAGGTAAGAGGCATAGCACGAAGATAAGAATTGTCAGGTTTCCTTTTGCCAGAGTTGCTCTGCTGGAATAGGAACCTATGGTCACATTAACTCTTCTGATCCTGTTTCATCGTGTGTTATATTTCTGTATTTATTTATTGGATTTATATACTGCCCATCTAACAAATGGTCACTCTGGGCAGTTTACAAACAACCACAAGATATGAAAATAACACAAGCCCAACATAATTAAATAAATTAAACAAATATTAAAGAGACTAAAATTGGCAACAGTTGAGTAAGAAGTTCATAGTCAGCAAATTCTTAAATTGGCTGGTGTTGAAAAGCCTGAAAAAACATGTGTTTTAAAGAGTTTCTTAAAAGATGCCAAGGAGAGGTCCAGGTGAATTAAAGGGGGCAGTTCATTTCAAAGGCAGGGAACAACCACCGAGAAGACCTGGCTCCTTTGTGCTGTCTTTCCAGGCCTTTCTCAGGGTCAGAGCACTCAGCTGGCCAGCCTGGGAGGAACGAGTAGGGTGGGCAGTCCCAAATGAGAGTAGGCATTCTACCATGGAATGAGGTCTCAAACCTTCTTTCGCAATTCGCTGTCACAAACATAGAATCCCTTCTGGAAGCTATATGTTGGTGTGCTTGGTGGTGTCTAGGATGACAGGATCTCTTGGTCCTAAGCTGGTTCTCTGGCTGTTCCACCTTTTCAACATTGGAGTTAAAACATCAGACCTGGCCTGTTGAGAGAGAGCATTGGACGCTGTCTGGATGTCCTGAGCTACAGTTCCTCAGCTGATGACAAGGTTTGATGGGAATGATAGGGATAACAGTTGAACACATCTGGGTGATGCCAGATGGGAAAAGGCTGGTCTAGAATGTGACAAATTCTCAGGCGTCATTCTGTATTCCAGGCAGTGGCCTAAGAGCTGGAAGTGTATTTTGCTAGACAATCTGACCTCCACTTCCTAGTGTCAGTGGACTAACACTGCTGTGGAATTGGTGCTACATAGCAGTAAGGGGCCATAGTTCTGGAGTGCTTTAGTGGAAACACAGTGTTACATAGAAATATGTACCTTTTCTCGGTATGTATGTATGTATGTATGTATGTATGTATGTATGTATGTATGTATGTATGTATGTATGTATGTATGTATGTATGTATGTATGTATGTATGTGATGAAGAGAGAAAT